TGTGTTTATGAAAGGGGTGCCAATAATGAGATGCTTCCTCCAGCAGAGGAACATTCCATCCTAAAAGTGGTCAAGAGGCAGGAGCTAGTGTTTAAACATAACTCTGGTCTGGTGCTTAACAGAAAGATGCAGTTCTTCCCCTGAAGATATATGACCTATGGGGCAGAGCAGGTGGTAATCCCCCTCCCCAACCACAGTCTCTGGGTCAATGGGGTATTATCACCCTGAATTACTGTACAATGTCTTGCTTGATCACTCTTCTCTAGGTTACATCTGAAACACAGGAGTTGGCATCTTCCAGACTGACAGATGTCAAGGAGACCATGATCAGAATGGTAGATATGACCAAAGAGGCTGTGCAGGACAGCATGAAGACCACCAAATCAGTGGTAACTGACAGCATGAGCACAGTTGCGGAATCCAGAATGGGCCAATTGGCCATAAGTGGAATGGAAGCAGTGCTGGAGAAATCGGAAGAGCTCTTGGATCACTATCTTCCCATGACAGATGAAGAACTAGGTCAGAACACATGAATGACAGGTCTCTTATCTTTAAAAGTTTAGGGTAATCCTCCCTTTGGGCCAAACTTCTCTCCAGGCTTCTCAGTCTTATGCCACCAAATGCAGGCTCATCCTACAGCATTTTCATATCTTAACCCTCAGTCTCTGCTTTTAGTTGTTGCTCAAATCATTTTATGCCCACCAAGTGGGGACAGTGTGGTACTAGAAGGAATGATGGGCATGACTATTCATTAGAAGTCAGGATCCTTAGCAAAGTATGCAAAAAATCTTAGTAGTGCTGTGTGGGCTTTGTTTTTAAGGCTGAAGTTACCTCTGGGGTACTTGATAGGTGCCTAGACAAATGCTTGTTACAAGGGAGCTTAAGATTTAGCAGATCAGTATGGCTTGTACTCCTTCACCCTCTCAGATTAAGAGATTGGTAAACAACCTGAACTTTCTTCCCTCTAGCTGAACTTGCTGAATCTGTGGAAGGGGCTGAAGTGTCTTCAGCACAACCACAAGAGCGTCGGAGTTACTTCGTGTGTTTAGGTTCCCTGTCAACCAAACTTCGCCAACGTGCCTACCACTATTCCCTAAACAAGATGAGACATACCAGTCAAGGCATCAGAGAGGCTCTTTCCCAGCTTCATCAAACCATGGGACTGGTAGGAACTCCACTATCTCTTAAAACTGATTTCCCTTCAGGGCAGGGAACACCTCAAATTCTACCTGTATAGAATGTGGTACAATGTGGCTTAGACCTCATTCATGGTTGTGTTATGTAACTAGACCCTTCTACTCCTGATGCATTGAGCATACCACTCTGTGGGGTGAAGGCATGTCATCAACCATGGAACTAGAATAACTGATGTGCAAATGTCTCAATATGCTTAATCCACTTCTAGATTGAATACCTTAAGCAAGGGGTTACTCTTCAAGAAGTCCAGGAGAAGTTCCATCACATATGGGTGAGCTGGAATAGAAAGCAGACAAAAGGCAGTGAGATGAAAGATCTGGCAAAACCAGAGGTATGTACATTTGGGGGGTAGGGGGCAGCTCTGGTCTGAGAGGTTAGCCATTATTCTGCGCCTTGCAGGTTGGCTTATCTTTGGATAAGTAGCTGATGATAAATTCAGGTGACCTTAGTTTTATTATAAAAAGTTGTTCCCTTTGAGCATAATAAGTAGGTGGCTTCCTTGCTTAGACATCCCTAAAGTGATGTCACACCAGCAAGGTCTGCCCAAGAAGCGTAGTCTCTTTAGATTCATTTTTTTTCTCTTTAAAAACCCTCAGCACAGCCTGCGAACTGATTGTAGATCATGGGTTTGCAACCAGTGAAACCCCTGTTAACTAACTTGGCTTAGCTCTGTTTTGACCTAGCTTACATGGCTTATTGCCTCTGGTGTTAGCCTCCATTGTCACAAGTTGCTGCTCATAGGGAAGGTGCAATTTGGTTTCTTTATATTTCTCCTGAAAGAGTGCATGGCACACCCATTGCAGACCTTGTTGGCGCTAATGGTTTTTCCATCAGATCTCCTTGATGACTGCCATTAGTACCTTGCAGCATAACTTGCCACCTTGCAACATCACCTGAGGTGATGGCAGCGGCAAGCTTGATGATCTTATTGTGTTTTGAACATTAGGATTAAACTTCTATTTCTCCAACAGATGGAGTCTGAGACTTTAGCTATGTCCCGCAGCATTATCCAGCAGCTGCAGGATGCCTGCCAGATGCTAGTATCCAGCATTCAAGGTCTCCCCACCAACTTTCAGGATAAGGTGCAACAGGTGTATCACAACATGGAAGAGCTTCATGCTTCCTTCTCCACTGCTCATTCCTTCCAGGATCTCTCCAGCAGCCTCCTAACCCAGAGCCAGGAGATGGTGACCAAGGCCCAGGAATATGTAGATGAGCTGATGGCATACATGATGGAGAATACTCCTCTGTCTTGGGTTGTGGGACCATTCACCCCATCTGGTAAGGTGTCTGCAGATTCCATTGAACCACAAAACCAAGAAAATGAGGCTGAGGAAGCTGAAGTCCTCACCTCCTCCAAGGCTAAGGAGGACCTGTGACCTAGAAACATGAAACTTCAACTTCTGAGGAAGAAGACAAATTCATTCAGTCTTCCTTCTGACTTCATGTGTACTAGCATCCTTCTGCAGGAAAGACACCAATGGCTAGTACTAGTAAGCACTGTGCCTAGATCTCTACTAATTTCTGGAGGTGGTGTGTGACTGCTATAATGTAGATCACTTCTCAGCTCCGATACTACTTGTTTGTTTAATATCCCTGTCTTCAAAATAAAATTTCACTGCATTTGAATGAAGGTCTACTCTGCTCTTTCTAAGAGGTGATTTCCAGTTCTATAGTGGAAATCTGTGCCTGCAGTTAGTCATGCTATATGTAGCCTTGTTTCTCAGTAGTGGCAACCACTGGCATTAGTGTGTAGACACTTAGAAGCCTGGGAAGCTTCCCCTATATACCATAGAACCAAATCTAGAGCCTTAATTTCTAAGTAGTTCTCGATCAACTACTCACACCTGTAAACAAGCTTTAGTTTCTGCTTAAACTTAGAACAGAAATAAGTTACTTTTGTTGCTCTCATATGGCTGGTAGAATTGCACTTCGGATTTCAGGTAGCAACTTCTGAAAAGCAAACAGTGCAGTTAGTTTAAAATTCCTACCACCAGTCTAGCCCAGGTTGGCTAGACACTACCTGGGTTGCTCAATTCTGAGGCAGGGGCCAGGAGAAAATGAGGCAAAAGAATCTCAGGTGCATATCATAAAACAGGGCTGGCCCTAGAGGGGTTCTAGGGCATAAATGTCACAGCCTATGAAATATTGGTAATTCTGGTGGGTAATGTGCCATAGTATGTATAAATCTCAAACACCTACAAAATCACTTGGAGTCTGTAACAAGGTTGCATAAATCCACACTTCACAGCTAGAAATGTGAAAGGCTATACATGCAATTTTAGCCCTTAGGTACAGCAGGTCCTCTAAATCCACATCATAGGGTGACAAGTATTAGAGGGGTAGCAGTGATTTGGGGTTTTTTTGTGGATACCGACTGAGGAGTCTGGTGGTACCTTAAAGGCAACAGATTTATTTGGGCATAAGCTTTCGTGGGTAAAGAACCCATTTCAGATGCATCTGAAGTGGGTTCTTTACCCACAAGTGTATACCCAAATAAATCTGTTGCCTTTAAGGTACCACCAGACTCCTCATTCCTTTTGTTAAAGGGGTGAGTAATTCAGCTTTTCCCACAGCCTCAGATCTACCTGTCAACTAGGAAAGGTATCAATCACTGCTATGAAAAATACATAACCAACCACTTTTGTAACATAAAACAGATTAAAACAAGAGCTTTTGAATTTCAAATGAAGGTGCTATAGTGCCCATACTACAGAGGATATGGGTTCTGTTTAGTGCACCACACCCTGGGAAAGCCAAAACATTGGGGCCCATGTGCTTAAAGGTATTTAGGCATTGCTCCACTCAGCATTGCAGGACCTCCCTGAGACACAACTTTCATCTACAACTGATATAAGCACTAAGTGCTGAAGTCACTTTTTGAAAATGACACTTGCATTGCTGTCACATGGGTCTTGCATAGCAGTGTTTAAACACTTTATAGTTCAGAGCAGCACAGTTTTATTTTTAAAGTTCTTTAATCTAAAACTGAGGCCAAACTTGAGTGCTATGAGAGGTGGTAAATGACCTATGTCCTAGGTTATTCACAGCCCTGCTACTCCCATTAGTCATTTCTAAACCCAGGCCAAACTTAAGCTATCATAGCACCCTCATTTACCTCCTAGGTTATTCCCAGCTCTTGAGTCATTTCTAGGCTTTGTGCCTCTGTAAAAGGGCCACATGATACCACTTGTAAAATGGGGATAACCATTCACTGTAATCATGCAGTATTTTGAAATCTGGTTATATTCAGTAACTAGCACAAGGGGGCCCAGTTGCAGCAGGGTAGCATATGGAGGCTCCAACTGCAACTATTACAGCTGTGAACTTCCTAATGTGCACAAGTGCTAAAGTTTGCACAATGTAGCTGTACTCATAGTCAATGGGAAAGAAACTGTTCCAGATGCATTTTTTTAAGCCACTCTTTCTACAGAGGGAAAACTGATCTAGTGGTTCTGGAATACCTACATTCTATAAAAACCACCATGAATGCCTTGCCTACGCTAGAATGGGAGATGCAGCATATTCCAGCAAAAGTTTGTTTCCAATATCATTTGACTTCAGCAAACAAAATAAGTAGGGCTAGCAATTAATTGCAGTTAACTTGCACAATTAACTTAATCATGATTAACAGTGCAATTAAGCAGTTTTTTTTAAAACAATAGAATACCAATTAAATATATTTGGATGTTTTTCTACATTTTCAAATATATTGATTTCTATTATAACACAATACAATGTGTAAAGTGCTCACTTTATATTAACTTTTCTTACAAATATTTGCACTGTAAAAATGATAAAAGAAATAGTATTTTTAAATTCACCTCCAAGTACTGAAGTACAATCTATTTAGCAGGAAAGTGCAACTTACAAATGTAGCCTTTTTTTTAGTTACATAACTGCTCTCAAAAACAATGTAAAACTTTAGAGCCTACAAGTCCACTCAGTCCTACTACTTATTCTGCCAATTGGTAAGATAGACAAGTTTGTTTCTATTACAGGAGATGCTGCTGCCTGCTTCTTATTCACAATGTCACCTGAAAGTGAGAACAGGTGTTTGCATGGCGCTTTTGTAGCTGGTGTTGCAAAGTATTTATGTTCCAGATATGCTAAACATTCATATGCCCCTTCATGCTTCAGCCACCATTCCAGAGGACATGATTTCATGCTGATGATGCTTGTTAAAAAATAATGCATTAATTAATTAAATGTGTGACTGAACTCCTTGAGGAGAACTGTATATCTTCAGCTTTGTTTTACCCACATTCTGCCATATATTTCATGTTCTAGCAGTCTCAGATGATGACCCAGCATGTTTGTTTTAAGAACACTTTCACTGCAGATTTGACAAAATGCAAAGAAGGTACCAATGTGAGATTTCTAAAAATAGCTACAGCACTTGACCCCAGGTTCAAGAATCAGCAGTGTCTTCCAAAATCTGAGAGGGATGAGGTGTGAAGAATGTTTTCAGAAATATTAAAAGAGCAACACTCAGATGTGGAAACTACAGAACCCAAACCACCAAAAAGGAAAATCAACCTTCTGCTGGTGGCATCTGACTTGGATGATGAAAATGAACATGGGTCCGTCCACTCTGCTTTGGATAGTTATCGAGCAGAACCCATCATCAGCATGGATGCATGTCCCATGGAACTGTGGTTGAAGATGAAGGGACATATGAATTCTTAGCACATCTGGGACACAAATAGCCTGCAATGCTAGCTACAATAGTGCCATGCAAATGCCCACTCTCACTTTTAGGTGACATAAACAAGAAGCATCCGGCATTATCTCCTCAAATTGTATCCAAGTTTGTTTGAGCGATTGGCTGAAGTAGGACTGAGTGGACTTGTAGGACAAAGTTTGAGTTTAGGTTGGACCCATGTAACCTAATGCATACTAGTTAAGTGAGCTAAACTCAGCTATTTTCCTAGTGCAGACGCAAGGCAACATCTCTAACATATTAGCTGGTCAATTTCTAGACTAAGCTCCTGTATCTATATTAAGAAAAAAAGGTTGGCTTTAGCTACCATGGTGTAGCTAAGTCTGAAGTAAATTCAAAACTTTCCCTAGTAAGGCAAACCCTACAGAGTGTTTCACAGTTTCAGCCTAGATGTTTGGGTATTATGATAAACCAAATCAAAAAGGTTAGTTACTAAATTAGTCACATTAGATTAGATTAGATTAGAAATGGTCTAGACTAAGGCCAGGTCTACACTACCGCGGTAGTTCGACGGCTGGCAATCGAACTTCCGGGTTCGATTTATCGCGTCTGGTCTGGACGCAATAATTCGAACCAGGAAGTGCTCGCCGTCGACTGCGGTACTCCACCTCAGCGAGAGGAGTACCGCGGAGTCGACGGGGGAGCCTGCCTGCCGCGTGTGGACCGCGTCTGAACCGCAGTAAATTCGAACTAAGGTATGTCGACTTCAGCTACGTTATTCACGTAGCTGAAGTTGCGTACCTTAGATCGAATTGGGGTGTTAGTGTGGACCAGGCCTTAGACTAGAAACAGTCATAACTAAAAACAACGGAGGAGTCCTTGTGGCACTTTAGAGACTAACAAATGTATTTGGGTATAAGCTTTTGTGGGCTAGAACCCACTTCATCAGTTCCATGGAGTGGAAAATACAGGAGCAGGTATAAATACAAAGTTCCATCCAAATCACTACACTTCTGTGAATGGTTTTGATGAATCTGTTTTTTCCAATATAAAAACATTCTGCTGAAAAATTCCTGACCAGCTTTAGTCAGATGGCCAAGAATGAAGTTTAAGCCGTGCTGGAGACAGCTGAAGAGCTAGCACATCCCTACCTCCCCACAGCTGGTGAAGTGGGTAAGAACTTGTGTGGGTCACACCCAGGTTGGGAATTTCAAAGAAGCCTAAGGGAGTTCAGTGTTCAGCTTCTAATGATTTCCAGTAAAAGTTGAGTACCTACATCTCATAGGTTCTTTTGAAAATTCCAGCCCTGGTGTCAATATTTTTGCCATAGCTCCAAAATAAAATGGGGGCATCCCAATGTTCCACTCTTTTCGTTACCTTGGACTTTCCCTCTATTTGGAGTTGGCTGATATAATAACAAGCCAGTAAATGGATAAAGGGCCCCTTGCATTGATAAGACCAAATAATTAACAGGATTCCCACTTGAACTAGCTTTAAGCC